AAGTAGTACAGAAGACAAAAAAGGTATTACCAGAATCATTCAGAGGCATTGCTTTATAGCAGAAGGAGACAGAGGAGAGACGTACGTGCTGAGAAGTAGCTACAGACAAGAAAATAGTCTGCAATTCAAGTAGTACTTTGTGAAAAAGAATTTAAGGGGCAGTGTCCCCTAAACAAACAGAATTCCTCAAGCAAAGGCAACAAAAGGATAAACTGAGCTCCATTTTCACCACAACAGAAAAAGCCTTCACACTGCTKTTTTTTTACAACAACTATGAATCATGGAATAATTCTGGGAGTGAAAAGAAAACCAGAAAGTGATTCACCAATAGCAGGATAGGTAACAAAGAAGGCTGGAGCTACAAGGGACGTATGCTGTTTGGAAAGCTAGTCAAAGAGGTAAAGAAGTGAAGAGAGGAAGATGCTTCAGCGGAGATTGAACAAGCACTAAGGGCGGTGAACAGAAGAGACAACAGAGACAACAGGGAGGATAGAATTAATAAAAAAAGAAAGTTGGGAAAAATGGAGAAAAATTTTGATCGGAAAAAATATTGGGAATACAATGAGATCTTAAATGAACTGGAGTCAAAGATACAAGCAGTATGAAAACCAAACTAAATTACACAGACTACAGTAGTAACAATACTAACAGAATGTTGCAGATACAAAAAATAGTGACAATAGCAGCACAAAACGTTTAGAGTTTCTTCTTTTCCAATTAGATAGTAGAATTGCTTAACTGTGAAATAAATTTGGCTCTAGAAGTAGAAAAGTTGTCACTAGGCGACAGAGAGTTGGCAACAGGGGAGAGAAATTTGAAATGGATGAGAGGAACAATAAAGGAAGTCAAAATAGGATTTGGGTGACAACACAAAATACTTGTCAAATAATTGAGACAATTTGTCTCAAAATATAAAAAAGTTTGAATAAAAGAATTGAAACCAAGCATGAGAAAGGGCATCGAACTCCACATGAGAAATAAGTGGTTTGAGAACATGTTCCAAGGAAAACAACCAGATAYTTGCATACAAGCAGTACAAAATACACGCGCAAATTTAATTTTATGTATGCGGGAAAAACAAAGCACCAAAGTATCAGTTTGTGTGATGTAGTACTACTGGTGGTGGTGGTTTGCAAGAAGGAGCTATCAATTCCACCAGTAGTTAGCAAGCTATTGCTGTCAATTGATTTGTTGCTGGTGGTGCAATCCTTGTTATTCACAGTTGGTCAATTCAGTCTACCTGGTAGTCAATCAATTTGGTGTATGTACTTTTATTGTTGGTGGTGTTCATGTATATGTTGTGTTATTTCTTTAGGTGTTTGTGTTATGTGCTGTCCTCACTAAAAGAGCAATGTTGGATAGCTACTAGTATACTACTGTAGTAACAAGCMATAGTGTTCCTACTAAAACTGTTAGTAACACCTCCAGTACCAGCAGTAGTATTGGGCCTGAGGTGCTTKTAGGAATCAGTAGTGATTAGTTCCTAGTATGAAGGAGTTTATTTCCAGTAGGTTCCAGTAGAGTATGCTGAGTAGTACTGCCCACTCTAAAATTACTACAAGTTTTTACTTTTTTCTTTTAGTACCTGATTTTTCAGTACTAGTTAGTGCTCGTCTTATATCTTGTAGTTTTAGGTTTTTTCTTGTACCTTGTCAATTTTCCAGTAGTCACTAGTAGTAGTAGCACTCTTATTACTGCACTGCTGAGAGACTCTGTGTGTACTTTTTTATACTAGTTTTCTCCAGCAGTTAATCTACCTGCTGTCTCTTATAAATACTTGTACTTTGGCAATCTAGCAATTATTTGCAAATGTGTAGGATTCGATGATGGACTTTGTACTATGTATCTATTATTGTTTCTAATTATGTTACATATACCTGCATGGTAGTACACAACCCAAAAAGCACTGGAATTCTCAAACTTCCAGAGCAAGCTTAGCCAGCTTTCTTCTGCAAATCAACAGTCAATCAGAAATGTTGAGTTGCTTTGTCCAAATGCCATTCTTTCCCCTTTTTCTTATTGTTTCTTGTCCTGCCATTGTCTCCTACTATAACTACTACTAGTATGGTAGTAGTACCACTAGATGTGCACATTCTTCCTGTTGCTGAGTGGTATTCATTTTCAGAGCAAAAATCTTTTTCTGCAAGAAAATATTCTTACTGCACCATACTGAAATTGTCAAAAAAAAAAAACATGCTTGTTCTATCTCCTTAACTACACCTCCCACTACTAGTACTAGTACTACTACTAGTACCCTGTCAATGCCAGGGGTCATAATTTAGAGAGGTGCACAAGAACGCCAGTGAAAACAGGCAGTGTTTTCCAGCAGTTTTTGGAAAACTCATATTCCATGTTAGRCACCCCAGAGATGTTCTTTTTCAATTTCATTTGTTCTGCATAATACTAGTAAACTACTATCCAACCTTTAAGCAGTTGCGAGATTATTATCAAAAATACTAATTTTGGATGGTTCTGCCTACACCACCACCAGTTTCTTTCAATGATTCTGAATATGAGAATATTTCCAGTAACAAATGGAGTGTTATAGTACRTTTTTTATTTTGAAAAATCAACATGAAAATTACTACTACCATCACTACTACTACTAGTAATAGTACTACTRGTACTACTAKTACTACCAGATTCCATCTTGTCTAGTTTTTTGTGGGTATTTTGAAGGTGGTTTCCAGTTTGGTTTCTGTGCTCGGAAATGTCAGAGCTTGCTCAGAATTCAGAGCTCGGAAATGTTGGACAAAATGTGCAGTTTCATCACACCGTGTTATTTGCTAGTAGCAAATCCACTGTGATTTCGAATGTGCTTTAAATACAATTGATCAATCAATCATCTGAGGTTTTTCTTCGTACTGTACGCATGATACCTTCCCTAGTCAAAAAAGTTGACTAGTAGTCTGCTTTTTCTTCTTCGTTCCCAAACGAAAGTCCATGACTAAATCGAACTAGTAGTCATTCACAAAATTAGCCAATCAGATTGCTTCATTCTTGAAAAAATACTAGCATTATCCCTAACTCTAAGTTAACACTGAACTCGTCATAAAATGTCAAAAAAATGGGCGTTTTAAAACACCTCTGCTCCTGTACGAACTAAACAGTAAAATAATAGGAACCACTAGCTATCCCCTAATATTCATCCGCCCCTGTTTTATCGATTTTGGGTCATCGTGGCATGGCGCGACAGTTCTCACAAAGAAGATCTCCCATGTGACACACGCGGGGGGAGCMTCTCAACGGCTACGTTCATCATTTTCGATTCGCCGTCACAAGATTCAAAAAGAAACGCTCGGTTCGACAATTTTTTCACTTTATTTTCAGGACTCAACACTAGACGAATCAAAGATTAAGCAAAGCACTAGTCCAGGAACAGTTGCTCAACTTACAAACCACTGCCAAAATATCAAATCTCGGAGAAAAATCGCGGAACGAGGTGAATCCGCAGAGAGAAAAGAAACGCACTCAGCAACGAATAAAAATCACCACTATCACCATGACTGATTTTGCAAGCATGCGAGTCTGGAGCAACGAGGAGGCAACTAGAGATAATCCAATCTGTTTGGATGACATTCTTGCAGACGATGTGCATGAAACCCCAAAAAAGAAAAAGGGCAGAAAGAAAAAAAATCGTCGCCGCAAAAAATATACCGACGAAGAATCCACCGTGGCCGATTCTGTCCTCAGCTCTATTCTCACCGACGACGAAGAGTTTGATAACAACACTACTGACCAAGTGTTCGGGAAGAAAAATTTGATGACATTGGACGAAGATAAACCTTCTCCGCAAGTCAACCACTATGAAAATACAGCATCAATGACTACAAATATAATTGACGCGGAAAAGCACGACCGCAAAGCACGCCTAGAACAAATCAAGGCGCGCAGAAACCAAAGAAAACTTCAGAGAGAAAAGATGTATCCATCTTCTGATGATGAAGACGCAAATAACGGTGATGATCTCAGCAAGAATCCATTTTGTGACTTTCATCAAATGGCTCATGTTGTCAAAAACGACGACGATGATCTCAGCAAGAATCCATTCAGCGACAACAAAGAAAGCAATGATAACGATGATGGTCTCGGTAAGAATCCGTTCAGCGACAACAAAGAAAGCGATGACATCGATGATGATCTCAGTAAGAATCCATTCAGTGATAAAAAAGAAAGCTACGTGGTCGAAAATGATGACGATCATAGCAAAAATCCTTTCAGTGATAAGAAGGTTGCCACGGGCAAGCCCACTGCAGATGACGACTTAAGTCAGAATCCTTTCAGCGATGACCATGCTGGAAGTGACAGCGATGAGTCTTCTACTATCCGTCCCCCTCCCGAATCGACCTACCTTGAGGAAGCGAAAGTCGATAGCCAACAGAAGAGCGACACAAACCCTTTCGATGACGAAGCCAATGAGGATGACTATGATCAAGAAACATTTCAGTCAGCCGTGTCGGAAGAGATCGATAGTGACGAAGAAGACATTATCGAATCTTCTCGACGCCTTCTCCGATGCGTCGACCAGCGCATCCAGTATCAGCAACAAAATGATGAGGCTGCGTCCCTGAAGGAGCAGATCCACCAAATGAAGATCCAAGCAGAGGCTATGGCCGAGCAACTCCGCCGAGCTGTGGAAACCAAGTGCGATCTCGTATTAGCACAGAATGAGATGGAACGACGCCACGAGCAGGATCTAATTGCAAAAGATGGCGAACTTCGGGACCTCCGCATGTACATTCAGGATATTTTGGAGCAGCAGGCCCAATCAGAACTGAATTTTATGAACGAGATCTCTTCGTTAGCCCGTACTGTCGAGGCCGACAAGGCAAAGCACAAAGAGCAGCTTGACAAAAAGGACCACCGAATCTCCATGCTCGAAACCCGGATTGAGACAATGCGAGTTTCCTCCGTCCGCGGATCATCGAAGAATGCTTACCGTAGTCGCTATAGCAACGCTGCTACGAAAGAGCTGATGCCTTCCTATGAGTAAGGACAAACTATATACCTGTATGGTTGCGATTCTATTTGTGTACGTTATGCTACAAGAAGAAACCATTCACGCGCTTGGTTAGTGGCATCCCGCCATTGGAAAAGATAATATGTATTGCACGAAATGTAATTAATGTTGTTGAAAGCCTCTCATCTATGGAGAATGCTAGAAGTAATTATTGAAAGTTAGGCGAATCTAGGTTCTACACTTTTCTGTCGGTATCAACCTCCACATCAAGCATTTTATCGACGCTTGCATTTCACGAGGAATATCCAACATCTCAGGTTGAATCCGGAATTGCTAGTGAAATAAACTCTCTCTTTATTGTACACCACGCATTAAGGATTCTATCAATATTTATTTAACAGATTGAGGGCAACAAAGACTAAGTAAACCAAACAGGTTGTTTGATTTCCGGTCGTTCGCATGACACTGTTTTTCTMAAGTTACGAATTAGTTGGATTGTGAATTGAACGAGGAAAGACGACATATCAAACAAAGCCTGTTGCCTCCATGTCCCATCAAGGCAAGTTTACTAGATCATTTACTACCACTGCCTCCGATAGCRGCATCGAGGGATTAAGTGACAATGGACAGGTCGAGTTAAGTTCCGATTCWTAGGTTTTTAAAATACGTAGTAACATCGCGGAATAGAGCCAATCGTGCCCTTCGCATTCATTAAGGGGCTTCTGTCGAATGGTAATACCTTGAGTTTCTCTGATTCCTCCATACCAATCTGTGCATTCTGATTATTTGTTGCACGGCATTGTACGGTTAGACCATGAAACTATGAAGAAACGAAACCCGTAGAAATAACAATTAATTGTAAKAGTCCAAGTTACGTAAAAAACAATGTCCGCTGCCCTTGCACTTGCATTCGAAAATATCCTCAAAGTCATCAAAGTCTTCAAATATATCAAATGCGTTGTCTCTCGTTACGCTGAGGGTATCGAGAGAGACAACATCGACACTATTGCTGTCGAAGTGGCCTAGATGTTCATGATCTGAGATGCGAGAGGAAGAATTGTAAAATTCCGAAGTGATCAGTGTGCTGTTAGTAGTGCTGGTAGATCCTTTACATTCAGGTTCGTTTTTGTCGACAAATATATTAGTTGCCAACAAATCTTGAAGTATCCCACCCTCATTGCCGCTAAAGCTCCCAAGTGATAAGGTCCTTGGAATTTTAAGACAATTTTCCATCGTCTTCTCTACATTTCTGTAAGCCTTCTCCCTCTCGACACTATTGCTGTCGAAGTGGCCTAGATGTTCATGATCTGAGAKGCGAGAGGAAGAATTATAAAATTCCGAAGTGATCAGTGTGCTGTTAGTAGTGCTGGTAGATCCTTTACATTCRGGTTCGTTTTTGTCGACAAATATATTAGTTGCCAACAAATCTTGAAGTATCCCACCCTCATTGCCGCTAAAGCTCCCAAGTGATAAGGTCCTTGGAATTTTAAGACAATTTTCCATCGTCTTCTCTACATTTCTGTAAGCCTTCTCCCTCATCGTTTTTTTCTTGTTTGTGTCAGGACGTATTTGTCTGATCGAGTTCATATCTCTACGTTTGAAGAGGTGGTGGTGATAGACACAGGATTTCCCGGTCATTCGAAATCCATATAAGTTTAGTTGCCGTTGGAAGGATCTAAATTTCGTCCGTTTGTTTGAAGATGAATACCTCGGAAGAATAAAATCGTTGAAATATTCCGGACTGGATATGTAGAAAGAAGCCCCATCTTTGTTCCATCCTACAATATCATTAGTCCCCTTCACGACCGACTCTTCGAGGATATGGTGCAACATTTGTGGAAAGCTGGGCTGTTTTCGTGCAGTGCACGACACAAGAAATTAGTAAAGAAAGAGTCTACGAAGACGCAATGCATGAACCAGAAACAAATTGCCTACTGGATTACTCAAACATAAAAACAACAAAAGTCTTACCTTGCGGCCCCTTTTGCGACTTCGAATCAAATTTTGCGTCTTCATGATTCATGATAGCCTCTGCGTGGAGACTTTCGATGGTAATACAAGTGACAGACAATCCGGATGTGTTTTACTACAATACTAAGACGTGATATGTTTGTGAATGTCAAGCAATTGTACGAAGAAATTGTGCAGAAATTGTCGTAGTCACTATATTGTGAAAGTTGATAAAAAAAATACTGATCATTTTTCAATAGATCCGACGGTGACACCAAACCTATGGACGTAGTCGTGGTAAAGAGCAATAGTGTTGCCGACAGATAGGTTGATTGCCTTGTTACTTATTGCAATTGTTAAGCTTATTTAAGGCAGGTTTTAACTATCGAGTATGACACAAAGGAATATTCCTTAGCTCCACTGATCGCCTCGTTCATACATAATTTGAGTAATCATTCAAGATAACAGAGTCTACATTATTATCATGTATTTGTTTAGGGAATTTTACGAGTACACTATATTAATATCAAAAATAGTTTTCGATGGGATTGAAGATATCTCTATTAAAKATACAAAGAGTTACAAGTATGTCGTATGTAATCTGAGAACATAATTTGTGAATTTGAATATTCTTCACAAATAAAAGGAGATTTGGGAGTTTTAAATACAAATAAAGACGACTGCGAACAGATTTTTGGGAGTGTTAAATACAATTACGGTGAAAGTCAAGATATTTAAGATCCTTAGGGAAGGATCGATCATTAGAAGTGTACCAATAGAACCGGTTTCCACATCAGGCATGAAACAAGCATTACTGCTTTCAGTAGTACGTACTTCGTAGTTCATTCACTTGGACATAAAGACGACTACGAACAGATTTTGGGAGTGTTAAATACAATTACGGTGAAAGTCAAGATATTTAAGATCCTTAGGGAAGAATCGATCATTAGAAGTGCGTACGTACCAATAGAACCGGTTTCCACATCAGGCATGAAAACAAGTATTACTGTACCGTAGTGCTTTCAGTATCGTAGTACTTCGTAGTTCATTCAGTTGGACGTCAATTCGGGACTTAGTTGAACGAACATTAAATTTTTCAAACATTAAATTTTTCAAACGCTGCCCTTTTCTCCCTAATAATTTGCTGATGGAGCTTAAGTTTCTGATACAAGTATGTTCCGGACGGACAAACGTTGTGATCCTGAGCAACTACTAGCAGATTATATTCTTCTTGTACACCGTACGAGTATGTAATATTCGGCGAGCTACTCACGCCGTACGAGTTTAATCGGAGTAAAATTAGAGCTAGAATTAACACAGGAATTTTGGCCCACTACTACWGTAACTTCGGCAGACTAGTTCTAAGCCGCCAGAGCATCCTTAAGCATCCCAATGACCTGGATCGCTAAGTAATTGTATCATCTTCTTGGTCTGGGCGCTTAGTCTGGTGGTCTTAAGTTGTTTTTTTATAGAGTTCTGGCCTATTTTCTAAGCAGCAGCAGGGGGTCTTGTAAACCGGCCAATTTTGGCCATACCGGCTGTTAATGGTGAATCGCCTCCCCCCAGGCCCTTAATCGTGTAACAATGACACACAGCAMTCTTCTTAACACTATGACCAAGCATATCCCCAAAGGGGATCTCATTTGAGCCGGTTCTTCTGCACTTTTAATGGCCTCACAAAACACTGTTTTGATCAACTTCAAAGCAACCGATTATTAAGCAACCAACCGAAAATTAAGCAACCGACCAAAAATCTCCCCCCCCCTCCTCGGTACGTAGGTTCATGTAGAATTAGTACCGCTGTACTAAATCTACGTACTTATYGTATGTATGCATAATTAGTACCGCGGTACTAAATCTACATACGTACGACGTACGCAAAAAAGAGGATTCAGCAGTAGTACGAATCCCCTTCTTTGAGCTGTTACACCTATACTGTACTAATTCTTTGTTTCCTATTGCACTTATTCATCCTACTATGTCTATTATGCATTTTAAAGCAAAAATCATGGCTCCTGCTCATAGCAAAATTGTTAGTACTAAGCGTACTACCCGTTTGAGTACAAAAAAGAAGATTGCTTCACGTACTACTAGTACTACTAGTACTAGTAGTACCTCCACTGTGATTCCACGTCTCTCACCTGATGAGGAACTCAAACGCAAGGTGGAATTAGCTGCAGATCTCATTGTTAATCCACGTGTCCTTACTGTTGCACAAGCTATGAAGGCTGTTGATTTTGAAAAGTTCGAAGCTCATAAAGCCTCAATGCAAATGAGGGTCCGAAGACTTGTAACCAAAATGAGAGAGGAAAAGGCTGAACAAGCTGAGGCTAAAGAAGTTCCTCCTTGCACTCCCTCTGTTGGAAAGCGCAATCTTCTTGCCACAGGAGAAGTTACTACACCCTGTGAAACATGTGCAGTTTTGAAAGTTACACCTGGTGCAACTCCCATGACTGGTGGTAGTGGTACTACTACTACTAGTACTACTCCTGAAAAAAGTGATTCTTCTCCCCACAGTGATGGTGGTTCAAATGGTAATGATCCAATCAGCAAGAAGAAATCCAGTTGAAAGGCCTTGAGGACACCAGAGATAGTGCCYGAGCTGCTCAAGTTGAACGTGTCAACAAGAAAATTAGGCTTGAAAATATAGCCCGTGCCCACATTAAAGCAACCACCCTCTATCAGGAAGCAAAAAATGATCCCAAAGGAAAGGGAAGAAGTGCAGCTTCCATTGTCAAAGCTGTAAATTCTGAATATGGTACTGACCTTAACCACCGAACAGTGTTGAGGTATGTTAGGGAGGGCAATGCTGGCATTGCACCTGCCAGAAAGGGACCTCGGCCAGGCAATATTTCTCCTGAAACAATGGATTTGGTTGTCACTGCATTTGAGACATTTGTTCAGCTTTGCCAAGCCAATGGAGATGCCCCAGGGACTGATCGTGCACCTCTTATTTGTCGACTCAATGCCACAATTGGGTTGCCACCATCATCAGTGCAGTCCAGTTTTTATTACTCTGTAGTAAATAGGACCACCATAAATCTGAAGGCACATGTGTTGAACCAAGTTGAAGAGAGAAGAGCCTGTTGGACCACCAGAGCAAACTTGAAACTGTGGTTCCAAAATTGGAAAACTGACCTGGTTGAACTTGGATTTGCATCAAGAGGTGGAGAATATGGAATTCAGATTGCAGAAGAACAGACACGAAGAATTATAAACCTTGATGAATCCTGTTTGTCCTTGGATGGATCCAATGGGCGGAGGGGAGGACGACTATCAGTCAGTTTAATAGATCCAAATATTCCTTCAATTGGTCGTCGTGTCACCAAGTCCTCTGTTACCATAACATTCATTGCTGGTAGCAATGCATATGGTGAACCCCTCCCACCTCACTTTCAATTTGGAACCAGAGCCAAAACTGAAGAAAGAATGAAACTGAAGATGGAAACAATAGCATATTGTAAAAAGGTTAGAGCTTCATATGGATTCCATGATTGGTCAGGT